TCTATCACTTTTATTAAGCGAAGCAACTGCTATTCTGTTGTTTGTCAGTGGTCTAGTAAACACATAAATGGTATTTTTAATCATCTGTTTTAAAAATAGAATTATGTTTGAAAATGCAAAATATGACATGCATGTGAGAAAGTGTTATCCAGAGATGCAGTGTCGTGCAGAGGTTTGGCGATGCCCGGGGCAAAGCTCTTGGTTATAATCATGCCATCAAAACTCAAGTGTAGGCCCCAGTATTCAAACATGTGAGAAGAGGGAAGACATTTTAAATTTCCAAAGACAGACGAAATGAACTTTGTTTCAAATTAAATAGGACAGTCAACAGCGATAATTTCAAAGTTCAAAAACTTAATTTTAATTTTACTCTTTAATAGGATGCCCCCCCCCCCACCCAAATGGATGCCCGGGGACCTCGCCTACCCTCTCTCTGCACACCACTGAAAGTTAGTACAGGTCTTGTCCATCCAAGTGCTCCAGTTTAGGTAGTGCTGCCCAATAAACAAATACAATCATTAGCCAATTAGTCTCATGTGCACCTACCTGCTAAGCTTGCCATAAATTGGAATATCATTCAGATTGACAACTTTTGTTTGTAAGTTGAATATTTAACCTGTTGTGCTCAAAATCATTGTAATTCTGGTTATTACAAAACAATTATATACTTACCTTCATTTTTAACGTAGCTTGTTTACCCATGGATCATGATTGATAGCTAGGATATTTTTATTTTGTAATAATTTTTTTGATTCCCTGCTAATATGTCGAAGGTCAACAGACATCAGAAGAGGTGAAGCAAACATGGCCCACATTCGAAACTGTGCTTTCTCTTGTTCATAACTCAATCCAAAATCACCTACTACCAGCTGTAAGAGACAAATTATTTGATGAATTCACCCTTCTACAAAAACACCTACTACTAGCTGCAATGTAATTGGTTCAATTAGCTCAAATATGTTTCTAAAAGTTTCTCACCATGTCAGGATCTGCCTATCCACCAGGACCAGAATATTGGCTGAAATTTTCTATGTCATCAGCATACACATCAATGACACCCATAACACTGTCCCAAGAATCTTGAACGTCTATGTCTTGTTTTCCACATGTTACACGTATTTTTGATGGCAGTATAATTACCCTGAAGCATCAGATAATTAATACAAATTTATAACATCATTTTGTTACCTATATCAACTTCGAATAGTTATCTGATGCAATAGTTTGGATCTGGATTTAAGAAGTCAAACCTATGTGATAGAATGTAACCTCAGGGTCAAATATCTCCAGCAGACTTATCAACCCATTAATTTCAATACTAAAGCATACAACATGTTTGTTCCACACGGAAACGTGCTTCTTCTGGAGCTGGAAGTATTCAACCCGAACACAAAAAATTCGTAATATTAAAATGCAACATTAATTACCCGAGCAAATGGTCACAAACTATAGTCACTGGACTGAACGTGTTTGGGGTTAGGTGATACTAAATCAAGTTTAAACAGGCATTATGAAAGAGCTAAATCTGCCTATTTCAGGTCTTTCTTTAGGCCTGAAATGTTATCTAAATTATTAATTAGACATTAATTAACCTATCCAGGCCATAATCAACTCTAGATGGCTGCGCTAGCCTGCGATCTTTAGTGGATTGTAAGCCAATTTACTGCATAACTTTCCTTCTCATTAAACGATTAAATGGATAATCGAGACTATGCCGTTTATCGTACTGACTTTAGTAATGATGACCGAGGCTTATGGGAATTTCAGTCGCTTAGTTCTCGGTTCATAGTGGATCAATTTGAATGAAATTTTCACCAAATTGCCTTCTACCTTATCTAGTTTTTAACTATTGTAGTGAGAACTGCCAACTCGTTACCGAATCTCCCATAATGTATCTTTAATATCTAATATTAACGACTGGGTAATTAAATACATTGAGTCTAGATAAATATAAATGGGACAAAGATTTATATTACAGTTGTGTGAACTCTTTAAATGAGAAGTTGTAAGGTGTCTTCTAGAAAGTATCATACCTTTTCATTCTCTTGTCAAACTGAAAAATGTCAATTATCTCTAGATACTTTAAAATCTTCAAAGGGGCGCGCTTAGGAGCCCTGAAAAAAATCTCGAATAAAAATGTATAAAATTTGATTTTACCTTACCATGCTGTCCATGTGGCCATTCACAGGAAAGAATTGACCTCCCTTTTTGATTTAGATAAAATTCCATTGCAGGAAAGCCTAAAATTCAAATTAGGTAGTCAGGGGGAATCAAGAAACCACTTTCCAGAAAATGAATCGAGGATCGAAAAGACCAGTGGCAAAGCCAAACATTACGATTGGGATGCCAGGCATTGGAAGACTGAAGGTGGGAGATGGCTAAGAGAGTGGGGTGGCATGCTGCCCTACGGAATTTCGACACAAAGAAAACGTTTATTAGCCATTGATGCGAATTCTTAAGTGATAAGTAGTATCAGGTGTCTCGAGGAACTCTGAATGGTGTCTGAGGAATCGGAACTGATCAGCTATTTTAAAGACAGGGAGAAACGCCCATAGTTGAATGCGCCAGAAAGTGAAAACAGGACCAAAGAGATATACTTTTTATTTGATTGCTCATCTGCAAACACATTACTCTAGATTCAATCACAGTGTGCTTATATGGAGAAACCGTTTGCCCATATTACTAAGAGTTGCGAGCACTGGCTGAAAAGTTCTAAGCCTATCGATGGTTTTCTTTAATGTTTCTACATAGTACCCTTCACCCTTACTAGGAAAATGACGACCTGCTAGTTCTTTTTCATCCATGGTTATCAGGATTTGCTTTAACACGACACAGATTGTCACGGGACATCAGGAATGTGACACGTTTCTGATCCACAGTCAAGAGCTTAGGCACCCATCTTGCAGAAACTTTTGCCATTCCAAACTCGTTGGCGATAATGTGCTCAACCCTCTCATGAGAGATACCCACAATACTGGCAATATTTATGTCGATTGGTCAATCGTCGATTAGCCATCATCATGTCATGCACCCGGGTAATGTTTTCTTGAATGGTTGCTGTTGATGGTCTTTCAGGACACGGGTCATCGTCAAGGCTCTCACTGCGCAAGTTTAAATTCCGCAGCCCACTTCTTTACTGTGGAAAAGTGGAGACCATATCAGCATGTATCTGTGTTGGGGTTAGTCCTTTCAGTTGCAGGTACTTGATGACTGGCCTATAGTCAGTTTTGTCCATTTCACAAGATGGTCTGGTACGAAGACAATTATAACACTACAGTTGCAGTTCTTATGTCTATGATTCATTTAATGATTGTTCTTGTTGGTGGCAAAAGTTTGTTGCAACCCAATTGATCTATCCTTTTCAGGCTTTCAACTTTTCAGTCAGTCCTCATTGCTGGGAGGCGAAGGATTCTTTCGTGACTTATGATGGATATCAAAAACTATGACCAAATTTCGTCATTATATTTTCAGGAAATCTAATTAATCCAAATTCGTATTTGTAATGCAGACAGATTTCCTAAATGTATGAAGGCAACTGTCTTAAGCAATTACAATAATATTATTATATCTATGTACAGCAATATAGTATTACCATACCAAGTTCAGCATTATGGCACGTATTTATCCCAAAATCTAACAATTACTATTGATAATTTGTGGGTATTTCATGACCCTGTTACACTAAACAGAACAGTATATTCTCCCCCCCCCCCCAATATGTTTTGAACATCTGGTGCAGGGGGCATTTGCATCCATAGCCCCGCCGTTCCGGCGCCCCTGGCCTTGTCGTGTGTACCCATAGGCTTGTCAGACTGCATCCTAGGGCTTATATATCTATGGGGCCTCCAGCCAATGCGTATGATATTTTTGACACCGTCATAAGTCTTTCTTACACGCACTGTAGTCTTTTGAACACCCGTCACCACCCTCGGCTTTACTCAATTGTGTTTAAAACACACTTTCATCTTCCTCCAGTCCTCAATGTTTGGAATTGGGAGTGGTCCCATAGGTGGAATAGCCAAGTGCATCTCTTCATCTAAATATGGCATTAATGATGGGAGTTGCATCGGCTGAACCTCATATTGGTAGCAGGTTGTGTCTTGTAAGACATTTTGTCAAAGCGTTGACGAAGTTATTGATGTGCTTGTCATGTGTTACGGATCTAAGTCTGAAAATGTCTATTCTCTTGCTATGCTTGAGTTATACAAATCTTCAGGGGTGGGTATTAAGGGCTGATCATCATTAAGACATATGTTAACTCAGAGACATGTCCAGTTTATGGCATATCTGCGGTAGGTGTCAAATTCTCAATTTACTATTAGTAATTATCAATTTTGTGGTGTAAGAAGTTCGTGTTCATTGAGTTATAATTTTAATTCTCCAACGAAATTGGATTATGATGGGTTGATTAGTTGGTGCATTTTGTCATGGAAACAGACTAAGGTCCAATTTTGCAATCCGGTCAATTACTACTCCCATGTTCACAATCAAAACATTGTCTGACACTGATGTGGAACAATGCTCGGTGTTACCAGGGTAATACTTGAACATTGTCCACGACCATATTAAGATATTATAACAATTAAATTAAAAATGTGTAGAAATGTGAGATACACCATACACGACCAACTAAAAAGAGTATATTAAACAAAATGCATATGTATATTATTTTTATTTAGGAGTTGCTACAAATAACACAATACCAGAAGGATTAACATTTAAAACTACATCAGACGTTGGTAGAAACGATCCTATAGATTGAGCAGTAAATCCATCAACTACGTCATAACCATTTTGATTGGAAAATCCTACGTCACTTCCTTTTATTGTCAATCTTGTTGGCATACCATTGTTGTTTTTATTAACAAGAGCTACAGCTATTCTGTTATTTGTTAATGGTCGGGTAAACACGTAAATATTATCTTGATTCATCTGTATAAAAACAATAACAACACTCAATGATCACAGTAATTAAAATAACCTTCCACAGTCGTCTGTCCTCAAGTCTATAATTTCATTAACATATAATATATCATTATGGTTGCCAAACAATAGCAGCAAATGAATTTAAGCCTAATAGAAAACTGTTAGCAAATGTAGACCTCACCATGGGTAATCGACCAAAACATATCCGAATAGTTATGAATAAAATATCCAAGAACTTACCTTCATTCTAAGTGTAGCTTGTCTTCCCATTGGATCTTGATTGATAGCTAGGATATTTTTATTTTGTAACAATGCTTTTGATTCGTTTCTAATATTTCGAAGGTCAACAGACATCAGAAGAGGTGAAGCAAACATGGCCCACATTCCAAACTGTGTTCTCTCTTGTTCATAACTCAATCCAAAATCACCTACTACCAGCTGTAAGAGATAAATTATTTCATGAATTCACCCTTCTACAAAAACAACTTCTACCAAATGTATTATTTGATCCCCATTGCCGCGCATAGCATATTTTTTTATCTCCTAGATTGATCGAAATAACGTCAAACAAACAGAAGTGCGAAGCATTGTCGTTGGTTTGACCCCATCCCACTCCACTCTAGTCTAATCCAATACATGTAAGCACCTAAATGAGCCGAATTAATTTTATCAGAGCTCACGATTTTATAAAATTCTCGAGTAATCCCCCCGACTTGACGTTGTCTCCACCCTGGACTCTCCCAGGCTTAAATTCCTGGACACTCCCATGAATCCCCTTTTACCTTTTCTGTCGATTCTATCTGAGACCCAACTGTTAGCAGACAAAAAAGAAAGAAAGCCTCACCATATCTGGATCTGCCCATCCACCCGGACCGGAGTAGTAGCTGAAATTATCTTTGTTGTTTGCATAAAAATCTATAATTCCAAAGACACTGTCCCAGGAATCTTGAACGTCTGCTCCTGTTCTCCATATATTACAAGTATCTCGAATGGCAGAAAAGTTGCTCTGTAAGGGAGAAAAGTAAAACATATGGGAAAATCTGGCTGTGTAAGCCGAATTTAAGGTTCATATGCTTATACCGTCCTCTCTTGAACCAATTATCGTGAAGTAATGGTCTGAAATAAGATGGTAAATCAGACACATCCATGAAACGTTAACACCAGTGGCTTAACTTTTGATTACAAATTAGCTGATGATGGACTAGACGCGGTGGCTCAGTGAGTATGACGCTGGCTCGCTAACCAAGAGGTCTCGGTGTTGGCCAAGAAAGTTCTTTTCTTCGGGATTTTCCGGCGTGTGTCCCCTCGTAAGAGGTACAGAACGGAGGGTCTGACAAGCAAAAGTGCCTAGTCGCTCGGATGGGACGAAAAACCGAGGTCAATTGGCGCGCACCTATAACCAACCTGGACAGTTGGAATTCGAAATAAGAATAAGCCGCAGTGCCGCTGTGCGAGCAAATTTTCGCCATAGCGCACTGTATGGCGTATGCCTGTCTTCATTAGCCGAGTCGATGCAGAAAATTAGGACGTTAAATCCTATTTCATTTTATTTCAGTTGTATTGTTGATGGTTAATAGTATGCTTACCGAGCCTTCTCCGTGTGGCCATTCACAGGAGAATAGAATTGGTCTTCCGGTTTGGTTTAAAAAAAATTCCATGGCGGGAAATCCTTAAATTACAAAAGTGAACGTAGAAAATTTATTTTAAGCAAGGGTATCATAGTTGTTAGACCGTAACTTCCGTATCCGTTAAAGAAAGAATGTGCTTTGGTGTAACATTGATTCACAGGCGAATAGAATTGGTCTTCCGGTTTGGTTAAAATAAAATTCCATGGCGGGAAAACCTTAAATTAAGAAAGTGTTCGTAGAAAACTTATTTTAAGCAAGGGCATCATAGTTGTTAGACCGTAACTTCCGCATCTATTAAAGAAAGAATGTTCATTGATGTAACATTGATTCAGATGCTAAGACGCTTTCATAATCGAAACACATTTCATGGTTATTGAATGGGGTGTTTAAAGTCTTCGACCTATCGCAAATTGGGAATCTAGACAATGACAATGTGTCCTTTGTCTTAACCTAACATATGATACCACTTCTCGTGTATATAATAGTTCACATAACTAACAAAAGAAACTATGAAATAGCTCACCATATGCAAAGTCCACATGGTCAGAATTGCAAGTATCAAACTTTAATAGATCAATTCCCCAATCAGCAAAAGTCTGCGCATCTGTCTTCAAATAGAATTCACTGCCTGGATAACCTCCACATGTCGAATGTCCGAAATCTTCATAAATTCCTAGTTTTAGACCTTTGCCATGAACCTACATAATAAGTACAATAAACAGATAGCAGACACCAAGCACCGTTCAAATTGAAACTCTATACAAACCATCGTCGTTTATCTGTATGGAATTAGAAGTAACTGCGTAACTAGTCCAGCATTGGAGCTTTCGCTTCTATCGATATAGACATGTTATGGAGGTACAAGATATAGACTATTTCGGGGACAGGGGGTGGGGCTGTTGGTGGTGTTAACAAGCTAGATATGTCAACAAATTGCATGGATCTTGCTCTATAAACCAGATGGCCTGAAAACATATTCTGACTGTGATTGATATAATCCTGACTGTTAATTATACGTCTAATCTGTTTACGACTTACATAATCAGCTAAAGCCTTCATTCCACTGGGAAATCTGTCTGGATCTGGAATAAGTCGTCCATCTGGACCACGTGCTTTCGTGGGCCAACAATCATCAATGCAAACATATTCATAACCGACATCTTTATATCCATCAGCTACTATATGATCTGCCATCGCTTTGATCAAGTTCTCACTAAAATGTTAAAATGAACGTTATGTATTGTTTTCAAATACTCTGCTAATCTAGCATTATGACAGCATAATTACTAAGGAGCTCGAAGAGAGGGTGGCGAAGCGACCCGGTCATCCATTTCTCGGGGGGGGGGGGTGCATCTAATCAATGAGTGAAATTTAAATTAATTTTTTTTTTCAAATTTGAAATCCTACTTGAGTCTCCTAACCATATAATCAAGGACTTATTCCTGGGCATCACCAAACCTCTGCACACACTGATCAAAAGAGTGTAGAACCCAGATTGTTATGTTGTTAACTTGGGAGTACGGACTATGATTTAGTTTTATTAGTTGTGTTCCGAGTTGTACATAACATTAGTATACTGTAGTACCGAGGTTTTGAAAAGAAAGAAAATAAAAGAGAAGATGCGAATTTAGTCCAATAAAAAAACGGCCTGAAACAAGATTCTCATAACTTATTGTACACGTTTTAAAAATTCATAAAACATGAATTGTCAAGAATTAAAGATCATCGGGTGTTTTTGTTAACTGATTGTCATGAGAATATATAACTATATTAACTATCTCTTGAATAGCAAGTGAACAAAATTTGGCGTGAAGCATTGGGGTCATTATAGACCCCAATAATGATATAGTCTGAAGATATCAAACATATTTAAATATGATAATAGGCAATACCTAATGCAATTATCCGGGTCATTTGTACAATCAGTATTACACCTGAACCTCTCCCATGTCAACCAACCCATTGGTGGTGTTAAAGCCAAGCCATTATTTACAGCATCAACGTGGACGAATCCAAACACAAAAAATGTGGTTAATGTAAGAAATTCCTAAAATCAAAAAGATGCACTTTAGTTTAATGTAATGTAAAACAAACAATGCCTTCAATATACCAACGTTAAGAAAATCTGGAATTGTTTCTGAATTCTGACATGGCACCAGTGGAAGAGGTCAAATGTTCTGGAAACAGTAAATATACGTGTACTCATCGTTATCATCTGTGTGTTATACAAATTATTTTAGGGCAGAGGCTTTGCAATCCAAAGTGGATAGCCATCACCTTTGTTCTTGAACCAAGCATTTTGGGGTATTTTTAAAGGGTCTTTCGCCAAGCGCACAATGTCTAATGATAATGCTGAACCATATAATGCACAGGAAAGAGTTAATTAAAATAGCCAAATAATATAGTGGGCACACAAGTTGTGTCATACGTATTTTTCAAATATCCAAAGGGGATATGTTTGTATTTGATTAATGATGGAAGACAGTCTAACATACAAACTGTCACTGAGCTTTTTGAATAGGGATAATTCTAAAAAATGAAATGAAATAAAATGGGGTTTACGGTCCTACGGGCATACGCCATGCAGTGTGCTATGAGGGAAATTTTGCCCGGACAGCGGCGCTATGGCCTACTCTTATACGAACTGTCAAGGGTCCTGTTACGTGCATGCCAATGTGTACACGGGACCTCGGGTTTTCGTCTCATCCGAACGACTACACGTTGTACCTTAATCGACCTTCTATCCTACACCACTGACAAGGAGGAACCACGCCGGAAAACTCCGATGAACTTTCTCGGCCAAAGCAGGGGTCGAAGACGGGACCGCCAGGTTAGCGAGCCAACGTACTACTCACTGAATCACAGTACAGGCCCGTAGCTAACCTAAAAATGTTGGGGGGGGGGGGGGAAGTGCTTCTGAGGGACGCCGATGAGACTTCTGGGGGAGCCGATGTACCTACACTCGACGATCCACGCTTCTAAGGTGCTCTCCCCTCAGAAAAATTTGAAGGAAGAATTACGACTTTAGCGTACCTATAACAATTTATGAGAATAACGAAAAGTTCGGAATCGGGTTAGAGTGCGACTTGTTTGAATTTTGAAGATTATCATGCCTGGTGCGAGCTTGAATCAATCTCATCCCCATCGTGAATTTGACCTGGAAAATTTCTACAATCTCCAGTTGGCTTTCTTATGGTAAATTTCTTCGGGCGTCGGTATGTGGTCGGTTTCTTGGTTGGCCTCCCCTAATCTCGTCGTGGGAGGCCCACCAATCTCGGTATTGTGGACGCCCCTCCGGGATGAGGCACCCCAACAATCATGCCGTTTTGGACGCCCCATTGATCAAGTCTTCGGTTCCCACTAGTTCCCAGCCAATCTCACTCCGCATTATGCATTAAATGCGACCCGACTATCATATATTGTCTTTATAAGGCGACCCACCAAGGCGCCGTTTTGGGCGCCCTATCAATCAAATTGTGGTGTTAATCATGTGATTCATTATGAGGCGCCTCACCATATGGGAGGCGCCTCATATATAACTACAGGATTGGCGAGGAGCCCATAAAAACAAATTACATTGGTTGGGCGCCCCGCCCAAAAATGTCACTCGGCTTTATGGTGCAGCCATGGGAACGTTAGTCGTTGACTTCGTCCAATGGAAAGGGCGCCAAAGGGAGCATATTGGGGTGCCAATTTTATCCGGGTGGGGGGGCAGCTGCCACCATCCCCTTAGCTACGAGCCTGTAGTGGCTCCCAATAATCCCAGGAATTTAGTAGTAAAATAATATACAGTTGTGCATTAATTACATTACATTCGACGAAATTAATTTTCAAATTCGAATATGACCATAATTTTTTAATGAAATAGTGATTTTGGTACCCCATAAATATGATTTATTCTTGAAGGTTTTTGGGCGTGTGCAATGAATCATTTAATTGCAGAATCCGTGCAAAATCCGTGACCGGAACCACACGATCTCAAAATATACATTGAAACACCGATCACAAAAATCTAGTTTTATGTTATAACAATAACATACCTTTTTGTAAGACATGTTCCTCTGCGAAAACTTTCTTGATAAACTTAACCTACTGGTATATATGTTAAAAGATTCGGTTATCATGCAAGGTCGTACATCTACCTATCTATCGATATCTATTTGATGATGAAGATATTTATAGTTTATCTATACGCTTCTCTAATCAAACAATAGGACAAAGCGGTCGAAACTGTAAATGAAATGAAATGGGGGTTTAACTTCCCTAGTATTGTGAATCAAACGAGCAAGTTAAGACGGGCATATACGACATGCAGCATGCAGAGAAGGCAATTTTGCCCAGACAGTGGGCCAACTCGTCTTCTAATTCCAACTGGCAAGGGCTCTTTTACGTGCAGGTTAACGAGTAAAAAAGTGGACCTCTTTTTTTCTCGTGCCACCCAAACACCTAAACACCTTTCCTTGCCAGGTACGTCGTCCAGCACTAATGAAAGACAAGTGGAAACCAGACTGGATAATCTCGAGGAATGTTTTCGACCAACACCAGGAGTGAACCCGGAATCTCCTGGTCATTCTACCGGTGCCACACTCACCGAGCTACCGTGGTTCAGAGTATAATGTGATATCATGACACAGTGAAAATGTATTATACGTTAAATCTCAAAATAAGACAAACAAATTTAATAAATTATTGATATCGTAAAATGACTCCTAATGGCATTCATGGAGACTTTTAACTTGGGGTGAAACAATATATACTCTTCAAAAGAAGTGGGGGATATTGAAATGCAAATACATATGCAGGTTGTGATATGATAAATAGTCATGGACACTTGACATGCTTTCAGAGTATGTTCACAGAAGAAGAACTTATCGCCCCAACAGAACCACTAAGCCGCGTGTGCGACACGCAATAGCGCCATACACGTGAGAGGGGTTCATTGTCAAATTGACACTTCAAGGACGGGTTGATGAAAACTGCCGCTTGCTGGTTTATCCTATCCATGTTTGCTTTCCTATCGGTTCCTGCATAAGATTTGCTGTTTAGCGTATCTTTCTTTAGTGTATTACGTTTAATTTGATCGGGAGACCTGTTCGTCGACGTCAACGTCAACCGACAACACTGCAAGAATTGGCCGTGGCACTGCAAGAGGAGTGGGTCAGATTGAAACAAATCGTGATTGGACGGTTAATTAGGAGCATGCCACGACGAATTGCTGAATGTGTGAGGATTGGTGGAGCAATTACTCATTATTAAGACAAAAATAAAAAACCTCCATTTTCACTTTTGACAGTGTATCTCTTTGCGAGTGAAGTGGGGCCGTCAGATAAGCCGCCCATATGAATTGTTTATGTTCATGTGTAGGCAATTGGCATGTTATTAACATACACTGGTTACCTCTAATAAAAACAGCAGTGCCTTTCGACAGTTTTGTATTGTTTCTGAATATCCCCTACTTTTTTTTGAATAGATAACTAGATTGGCTATGAATCGCCTGGATACATAATACGGCGTTCCCGTTTTCACTTCTTGGAATTCTACATGTTATTTGACCTTTTTTGTGAATACCTGTCCCGAATTTTATTTAAAATTTGTCTTGGGGCAAGCAGGTGTCGCGGATGACCCGGTACCCGGTTTCATTGCAAATAAAAATCAACATTGGTTTCGTATGGCGCATGCATGTATATACATAGATTATAATTGCCGAAAATTAATTTTGCGCTGTATTTAATTGACTTTAAAAAGTGTCAACTTTAGGTCGCTCAAATTGTAACTAAAAACATCCTCGTCGCTCGGCTACTACAATAACAAAATTAATTGCTTTCTTTCTTTCACATCCTTAAACCCGCCTGTTGCTTGCGCTCATTGTTTTACAATAACATAATACCGTCGATCCGACCGGGCAATCAAACCCAAAATCCATAATGCAATACAAGCAAAAGTGTAGGGCTTAACAGTGACGGATCATGGTGAGGGCAACAGAGGCAAATTAGGGGGAACCCCAAGGGGCATCGATCAGAAGAAAAAAAATATCAACGATTCCACGTTGGGTGGGTTGGCATGAGAAATGTTTCCATAACCCCAAACCCGGACAGGTAACGGTCTTATTAATTGTCCAATATTTCCGTACCCCACTCCCACCGGTCTCTCACCCAACTAGATAACAAACCTCATCTCTCAACCCTCCGTGTTTCGAGATAAGAGATGGTGCTATATAGTTCCTCGTAGCAAATCCCAACGCAAATCACATCGGGACTCAGTGAGCAAAATTGGCAATATTTTTCATCAAAACAACGATTGGTTATTGTTATTTATAATATTTCTGCCACATCCAACTACAATTAAGCATATAATCCTGCCTGAAACGGGTATAAATCATCGTATTTAAAATCGAGGCGTTTAGCCGTTACTAAGAGCGCCAGTTTTAAAAGGGAGATGTTTGACAGTGTATGTCGAAAAAAAAACGCCGCTTCATTAATTTAAACGCGAATATTTGGAGTTAGGCGATAGTTGTGCCACGACATTGGCCTATGTAGTTTTAATTAGTCATAATAGTATAAAATTATCTTATTTTTAAGATGTTACATGCATTAATAAAGAAATTGAGTTTGCCACTTGGATCTAAAGATACCCAATCGTAGCTAAAAATAAGCACATCAGTATATCTCAATGTTATTAGCTACGTTATCGTAGCTATCACCCAAACAGCTCTCTTGAAAACAAGACTCGTGAACCAGTCGAAATTTCAAATAATTTATAGTGGGAGCCTCCCCCCCCCCCCCACCCCCTGGGGTGTCATCTTGTCACTGGGGCCCGGCGACCTCATGATCCGTCACTGGATAACACACACATTTTCTATAATAAAATGTGCATGCTCTAGCGTGTGTGTATACCTCGTCAACTGATAATTAGGTATACAACGCCATATGAACGGGAAATTAACGATGATAAACTTAAATTCATTCCGTTTGTGTTACAGTTTCACACTACATGTATAAGTTTTGTGTTTGAGTCATTATTCAAAATCAAATGATGCTGCGATTTTTGTAAATGGTACTATCTTTAATCTCTAACCCAGATCTTGATAATAAATGAATCTAGAATTATGCAGTGTGTGTATACATGAATGAAATTCAACATTTTGTTAACGTTTTAACGAGATCTTGCTTGCAGTCCGAAAAAAGCACAATTGATACTGTGTAGAATACCAATCACTTGCTGAAATATTTATCCTCCGAATTCTACATAGATATTGCACATTGTTTTTATTAATAAGCTATTCTATCATTCTTCGGTGGCGTAGTTTTGTTTGTCGAATTACACAGCTAAATACAATTCAAAATAATTTCTATGCTTTTGCTTTTTAAATTAGAAAGTAGTAATTTAACATGGGTGAGTTACAAATGGGAGTGAATTTATGGGGATTGGGGAGTATGAGACTGGGCTTTGAGCAACTGACAATCCTCTTAATAAATTATTTTAATTTCCAGGGTCGGGCTTTGGAGTGGTATAAGGGAGATAACTACATTATTATTCATGTCGTGAATTTCTCATACGGTGCCGCACATGCTTACCTTCTGCTGATAAAACCATGAACCCGGTTGAGAACCTCACAGCCACCATTGGCCAAATTGAAAAACAAACAGGTATGCAAAAAGGGAGATATGGTTAGTCTTATCATGATCTGTAAGTTAGTCGTAAGTTTCCCTGAAACTGGTTGATTATTGCCGTCTGTAGCCGTGCCACATGTACTGTGTGTTAACCTGATATCTAGGAAACCCGCTAACCGGAATTGGCCGAAATTTTGATTCTCTGAGGTATTATTATAACGTGTAAGTTTCCTGGATATCGGTTGATAATTGCGGTCTGCAGTCGTGCCATATGAAATGTATGGTAACCTGCGGTATCTCTGAAACCGCTATCCGGAAGGGGTCAAAATTTTCGCTACTCTGCGATTTTATTAATACCATCATGATCGGTAAGTTTCATCGAAATGGGTTGAATATTGCTATCTGCAACTGTGTCACATTAAATATATGGTAACCTGATATCTCGGAAACTGCTAACCGAAAGTAGTCGAAATTTTGCCTTTTCGAGATATTACTAATGTTATCATATCCTGTAAGTTTGATGGATATCGTTTGATATTTCCGGTCTGCAGTTTGGGTCAGATTTTTACGAAATTTGCGCAAATACCAAAAGGAATCAAGATCTTTGGATTATAATTGTACATTTCAAATTTCATCAAAATCGGGTAAAAATTGTTACTTCTATAGTGTCCACAACCTTGGTATTACATACTTTTACACCATATGCGTACAAGGAGCGGCCATATTGTCCGGCAGTTTGGGCCCGATTTTTTACGAAATTTGAACTCAACCTTCATTTTTTAAAATTGAATACAAATTGTTGTGACTTCTAGTGGGTCCACGAGCTAAAAATGCGATTTTTCTAACAATCAGAGGAAAATCCAGGAATTTACATTCGGATATGCGCGATTATCGAAAGGGACCAAGATCTTTGTGATATAAACATAAATTAAAGTTTCATCAAAATCTTATCAAAAATATGGCCTCTAGCGGGTCGACAGCCTCGATATACCTAATATTTATACTATTTACGTACGAGGGGCGGTCATTTTGGCCGGCAGTTTTAGTCCGATTTTCACGAAATTCGAACTCAACCATCATTAGGGTGTAACGGTGATATATATTCAAACGGTTTTTTTTAAATCGGATAAAAATACCATATATTTACACTATTTACGTACGAGGGGCGGTCAATTTGTCCGGCACTTTTAGGGTGTAACGGTTATATATTCAAACGTTTTTTTACATACCATATATTTACACTATTTGCGTACGAGGGGCGGTCATTTTGTCCGACAGTTTTAGTCCGATTTTCACTAAAGGAACATCATTAGGATGTAACGGTGATATATTCAAACGGTTTTTTAAATCGAATAAAAATTGTGACCTCTTGCGGGACCACAAGCTAAACATGCGATTTTTCGTACAATCAAGGGCCACAATTCAGGAAGTGACGATCCGATATGCACGAATATCGAAAGAAACCAAGCGCTGTATCATAAAGTCTGTCATTGAGTCATAAAAAAAAATAGATATACATTGTCCGTCAATATTACAGCACCCCCGAGAACACTTCCCGCCCCCCTCGTTGCTCTGAGCTAGTTACGGCCCTGTTTGGACGAACCATCCACCGATTCACACTTCACCAGGATTGACCCACGTTGTGCAGTGTCCTTTACTTTACGTTTAATATAATTGCAGAAAGTATTTGTCAAATTTCGCTTGACACGGCTCGATAATAAATACTATTTTTCACATTTCGCTTCACAATACTCGATAGAAATGTGATGGAAGTGACTTATTAGCTAATAACTACTACATACATGCCAATATCGAAAGGAACCGAGATCTTAGGTAGATAACCCTATATTTCAACTTTCGTCAAAATCGGATAAAAATTCTGACCTGTAGAGTGTCCACAAACAAATTGTGGACGGACGGACAGACAGACAGACCAACGTCCATATGAAAATGTGGGCGTATAAAAAATACTATAGAAAAGTTGGGTCTGGTTATGTACCCATTTGAAGGACACCACAGCATTGAGCCTCTGGCCAATAATCAAAGTTTCTTGAGCTTTAAATGTAGCTGCCCTGTAGAAGATAATCATGTCCTTTTCTTCCCAGTATTATTTGATTGATCAGGTCCTCAAATAAAGAACTAAAGTAAAGCCAGTTTAGAAAATCAAAATTAGAAAAAATAGATTGTAAAGAAATGGTGTTTTTATTGTCCAAGTTCTCTCAGTTTAATTAATCATTATACATAATGTCAAACTATGTTCAACATAACTATGAACACTCAAATCTAAAGATAATGGTTTGGCTATTAATAATAAGTGGTCTACACAAACAAGCATTTAGATAAACAGAAGATATGTCATACACGAAACTCCTTAAACAGGATTAAGTCATTACTAAGTTTTATTAAAATCAGATTAAAATTACTAAAATTTATATGAATATCTTTAAATAAACTAAAATTGATCATTAAACTCAAAGAAAGGATCATATTCTCAAAAACTTATAACTGTAAAAATGTGATAATTGAAGATATATTAAATGCACATATGTGACAAGTTTTTAAGAATCATGATCCTAATGGAATTGAAATCACAGATGATTAAATCTAAGAATAATAAATTTGTATATCGTTAACATTTAACTCACTTACGAATTAAAAAATTTTTTTTAAATCTTACACATGCAATTTTAAATTTAGAAAGAACACAGAACAAATATAAATAAATAACATTTAATTTTAATATCTAAATTCTTTTCACTTAAAAAGTATATAAAATTCATATGATAAATCATGTCTAGGCATAGCAACATCATTTTTCCTATGACTATGAATAAAAAGTTCAAAACCTGTTACACACATGGGCTTCAAGTTTGGACTATATGCACCACTGGTACGTTGACTTACGCAGTATTAAGTTATACCTTATATAGTGTTAGTGTACATGATTGCAGATAGAAGGCTAAAAGTATGAGCCAGGCATACAAATTGAGCCATGTAGAGAAAATGGAGGTATATCGATAGTATGAGTGGTGCACATAGCCACAATGCGCCATAATGTGAACTCCAGTTGAATATAAGCACTGTAGCCAACTTGAATCATGATTTAATGAAAGGGAACTTGGACCAATTTATATTATCAAATGAAGGAAAAAACAATATCTACAATATGTTGATGAAATAAAATGATATTAAAAGTATGAGTTGTGATCTATATAAGAGAATACAGTTACATGTATACTGGTTAACTAAACATTACATATTTTGATTAAAATTTTATTGGAAACTGCAAATCTGGAACATTAATTTTTTAGTTTTATGTGTGATTTAAAGCATTTAGGATTAAACTGTTTTCTGATAAAGTTCCCATTTGCAGATTTAAATTGTTACGAAATCAGACAATAAAATATACTCTAATTGCACATAACGTAATGTTTTATTTCTTTGAAACAATTTCAGTTTAGTTCATGATATAAGAAGTCAATCATTTAGAAAAACTTAACATATAGAGGTAAATATTTTAACTGAACACAAGCATTATGTCCACATATTTACAGCCAAATTTTAATAGAAAAAATACTTTTAATACATTCCAATACACCAAACATTTTACTGCCATTCTTGTCGTTCAAAAGTCCATCTCAAAGTGCACATATATTTTGGCATCAATACAAGTATGTGGCTTCTGTTGCGCATTGGAGACCTGGTTAATTTAAGTCTATCAAATTTTAACATAAAGCATAAATCATTATTCAGCTGCCCTTCACAGTTCTACAATTCAACTCACATCTCAACAGTTTAAAATTCAAATCCCATTAAAATTTTGTTAAAAATCGTAGATCAACTAACATACAAAAATAAAACATACAATAAAATGTAAATTGTACATTAGAACTAACACTTAACAATGATAGTCAAATTGGCCAAACTTTAGGAGAATCCAATTCATTTTAAAATATATAAACCAATTTGTACAATGTTCAAACTATGGGTATATATTGAACAATATCAATAAAATTTCTGAAGGATGAAATTGCCAAATAAATGATCCCCAAATTCTTAAAATTCAACTTTTTAAAATATTTGAAAACATTCAAACAACAAAAATGGTACATGTATATTAGAATACAAAATGGCTGCCCATGACAGTATTCTTGACAATATTACAATGGTAATGAGATTTGTCAGCAGACAATATTATGAACCGATTCTACAAAAATGTTCAAAATGAGATGGTACAAATTTATGCATCATTTTTTTCTTCTTTTGTTTCGCTTTCCTCTTCTTTTCTTTTCAAAAATTCTTTCCCTTCTTTAGCTGTTTTTTGCATTGTTCCTGCTCTTTTAACTGCTGGCTTGGCAGGGCGAGGGCTTGGTTTATTACCAGAACGCGTTCGTCGACCTTCAGTTACATCTATTTCAGTGTCGGGAAACAATGTTTTAGCTAAAATGTATAAAAATATTTTTAAAAACAACATTTTCCTTTTGATAAATATCTACAGCAAGTCTATATAAGCAATAAAGTGCTTCAGATGATTTTCATAAGCTCTTAATGGACAAAAGTTGTTATATTAGACAATGAGAAGATATCAGTTTGAAACTAACAATTAATAAAAAGAACTGTCACAATATAAGAGAAAATAGAAAAACATTGTGCATTCCCTTTGTTTTTATTTATTCTCTACATAATAAAAACATGGTAAAGCACAGACTTTTTCTATGTTTCTTGTTTTCTCTTTTCTAGTGACAGTCAATTCTTTTTATGAATTGTCAGATATCCTCTCAGTCTCATAACTTTTCGTCTTCAAAGGAATTACAATCGTATCAATGAGCTGATATATAAGGTTAACTTGTGTTTTCATCTACCATAGCAATGATTTCTGTGTTAAAATCATATCACATATGTAATAATGGCTGACACCAACATTGTCCTTTAAAACTACCCAACACCATTCCAAAGCTCCAGGAGATAGATTGTATAAAATAAAATTGGAATGCGGAATCAAATGAAATGAAAATGGGGTTTTATGCTCGCCTTCATTAGCCCAGTTAAAGCAGAACACTAAGACTTTAAATCCTATTTCATAAAGAAAATGAAATGGGGTTTAACGTCCTTCTGCACCGGCTGGGCTAATGAGGGTAATGGAGGACCCAGAGAAAACCCACGAGGTTGGACAGGTGATCCGACTTCTAGTAACTAACAACCGGGGAACCAAAACCACGGCAGTTGACTCAATGACAGACCTAATGATATAACGTGCAAACGCTAACCATTTGACAACCCACCCCCCTCCCCTGGGCTAATGAAGTCAGGGGAATCAAATGAAATGGGGTTTAACGTCCTACACTGATTGGGCTAATGAGGTGGAAATTTAGCAAGGACAGCAGCAGTACTGCCTACTCTTATTTTAAATGCCAAGGGTTCTTTTACGTGCACATCAATGTGTACTAGGGCCCTGGCTTGTTTGTCCCATCCAAGGACTATACAGTGTCCCAAGAAAAGCCCTCTGTCATGGGGGAACCACATTGGAAAATCGGCCAACACAAGTATCGAACATGGGACCTCAGGGTTAACGAGCCAGCATCTCACTCATTGAGCCACCACTTTATTAAGCTGTTTACAATTGATTTAACTGATTGATTAGCTCTCTACTATTTAGTCTATATACCTTCTTGTACAGCTTTAGCTATTGTACCCTCTCTTTTCGGTTGTGGTTTGTCAGATTTTCTTTTTGTTTCTTGTCGAGTATCTCCTAATTTCTCACCACCTACTAATGCCTTTCCTTCCTGAAACACAGTGTTATTTTATTTATTACAATAAAAATAAAGGACAGAGTACCTTTCATGCTGCACAGTTGAAATGTTTTGAACATCTGTTATACTCATCTGTGGAGACTGGCTCTATGCAAAGATGTTAAGCAGTGACAGATCTGTGAAAAACTAGAGGTTGCTTGAAAGCATTTACTGAGAGAAGATATTGGCTATTCACTTCACAAGAATTTGAACACTGATTCATATAAAAAAAACATGCGACAGCTTTTTCAGGGAAATGGTTTCTGTAAGCTCATTTTTTCTTCTTAGCTCTCCTGCCTTTTATTAATTTCAACTAATGGAACATGTAAATATGCTCATAGAAAGCAATGGATACATGTTAAGCCTGCCCACTAATTTTAATTATTTTGACGTTAAACATTGTCATGAGAGTATTTATCAGGTGGTTATTTCCAATAAAAGTATGGCAATTTGGGTATATATGGAATGTATAGATGCCCAATCTTACTAGAAAAATACTGGATTACCCCAAAAACACCCATGTGGCAAGCACTGGGCAAAAATGTCAGGGTATCACTAACTAGCAACTTATCGTCTGCCAGCTTGACCAAGGGATCAGTTGTTATTTCTTGATCGAATGGTTATGCGGTTTAGGGAACATTAAGGGGTGTAAACGTATAAATGGACACTCCCTCAATCAAGTTAGCCGACAAACATGGTTTCTGTTAGCTCTTTTTACTTTTTAGTTCTCTGTATAAATGGACCCTCCCTCAATCAAGTTAGGTAACAAACATGGCTTCTAAAAATATTTTTTTTATAGCGTGGAAGATCTCCCTGTGAATACAAAGTTTTGAGAGGGATTCGAAGCAAATTTTTGATAGATTAATTAGTTTGAATATGTTTAGTCCTGTACGCAGGAAAGTATCTTTAATAAACAGCTCAATAGTAATGGTGATGTCCACGGCCTTGATCTCAAAACAAATATGACACGCATTAATTACTTGCACGTTTGATCTTATAAGGTATGGAATCAATGGACAATTTTTGACATAGTACTTATGTTTTATAGTATAATTTATCATTTTCAAGAAGGTATGCGCTTGAATGAGATAAAAACGTTTTGCTGGTGTAAATGAATAGCATCCAATCGTACCCGTAGTTATAAAAAAAAAATACTTGACCGAAAGAACCCAAGCTTTTTTTAAAATATTTTTTGTCCCTTCTTCATGTAAATATTCTTAATTTAAATAAAATATCATTAATAAACTTGAAATTAAAATTGTAATAAACACAAACATCTTTAGCAAGTCTTCATGGGTATAGGTAGGTCTGTTTCTGAACCAGCTCATTAAATTTTGTAGTGTAAAAACTCTTATTAATATTGACTAGAAAGTGTCATGGCAATACTCCGGGGGTATTTCCAACTTTTTATGCATGTTTTTTTACATTTAAAAAGTGATAAACTGAAATTGACATTTATAAAATGTTGCGATAATAGTGATTATATCGCAATATTTTCAAAAAATATCACGGTATCTGTCTCCAGGGATATCGCCCAGCTCTACACCAAAGTTTAATCACACACACTCAATGGGCGTCCTCGCTGAAGAAATTCCTACCAGATGACGCTAGTAAAAACTTGGTTCCACGTGACCTTATCAATGGTAAGAGAACCGTATCGGTATTAAATTCCATATTAATGACAAAAACTAACGTTTGTCAACACACGAGTTCGTAACGAATGTACTGGAAAACTGTGCTATAAGGTAAACAAAGATGTCACGTGGGACCGCCTTGTCTATAAATTATATCCCTTTATCTCTAACGAGGATGCCCATTGGACAGACAAACCAAATTACTAATCTTACTTAACCTACGCAGAAAAATCTCATCATAGAACTGTCAAGATATTCACTTACATTCAACAAACATCTACACCAAGTCTGAACATTCTGCTATGAAGGAAAGTTTGCCTTAGTCGCATTCTAACTGCTAAGGGTTATATTTTATGCTCGCCAACATGTACACATGACCTCAGTGGGTTTTTACCCATTCAAACAACAAGTCACTGACAGGTCAAAAGATTAAAAGAAATACAATTGTTTACCTTAGCTGTTGCCACCATTGTTCCATCCTTTGCTAATTTTGGTTTTTTAGCCGGAGGATCCTCCTTAGTTTCTTTCTGAATGGCTTCTATTTTTTTCTGTTGACCTCTCGTGGCTGCATCAGCATCAGGTTTACCCCCTAAACTATCAAGAACAGCTTCTCCTTCCTATAATAGAGAAAATTTAAATGATTTTGACCCTCTGCAATGGTATTATTAAATCATACTTTTACACAGTATTTAACTTTTTCAAAAAAATCTGCCTCTGTGCCAAAAATGAATTGTGGGGAAAGATACAGATGAAAAATGAGTTGCCAGGCAATGAAATATGCCCACAGCAGTTCATAAAGAGTTCATAAAGGCTTCATATTTAATCCTTTTTGCATTTACACCACACTAAAAACTGATCAAGGGCAAGAACGTATGAAGTAATTATCAGAAATAATTAAAATTTGATTTCTTCCTAGCCATTATTGTAATTATCTGAAATCAATGAAATCAAAGTTATTCCTTGCCTCGTTAACATAAATAATGTGTATAAATTTAGCCTGCTGGAGAGTCCACAAGCTTTTACAAATCAAAGGACGGACAGTGTTGACAATATACAACATATACATGTCGATGTATAAAGACCAATATACCTTGGCTGTGACTGCCATAGTTCCATCTCTAGGAAGTCCTGGTTTGTCAGAGCTAGAATTTCCAACATCTGAAATTAATCCTTGTGCTGCCAATAATCTGTTACATCCTTCTTTTTTAAGCAAGTCTATACCCTCCTGTGAATATATATACTTTATTTAGTTAATCAAATTCAGTACACATCATCAACATTTTAATGAAAACCATTAGGAAATAATTTAAGTAGGATACTCCAACTATTTGCTCAATGACTTGACCAGAATAATCCAGTTTGTTAGCTGCCTATTTGAACTAAATTAACAATTAATCTGATGTATATATTTCAATTCCACACAATCCACTTTATAAAGAACATGTAAGCTATTGGCTATTCTATAATTAGGAAATACCGAAGACAAAGGCATTCAGGCTTCATACACTATATACAATTTTTAAGTAAAAAGTGTGATTTTTCTCTGCAAGCCTTTTTCTATTGGGAGCAATATGATGCTAGTGGACACACCTATGTAAACAAAGCTACAAATGCAATGCCTAGTAGATTTATTGTGATAAATTTGAGCTTGTGTCAAATCGCTATTTCAAACAATATTTATATTGCACTGTTTATGAAGAATGTGAAATAGACAAATATATGTATATCATTTAAATAATCTGTAAACAATTCTCTACAAATTAAAGACTTTCATCATTTGATTCATGAACTCCTATGCCTACATTTAGATATGCATATCTATAGGCCTAGTAGCCATCCATAGGCTTGATAAGTAATACAATACAATGAAGAAGCATATTTCCTTGTTCTAAAAACCCAATGTTTAAGTACTTCAAAATCACTGATGTCACTCAACACAACAAAGTCATACAAGCACGCTGGAACCTAGCCATTTGTATTCTAAGACGTGTCAATAATCGGTTAGCTCACAGAATGAAAGATGCTACATGAGCGGCTTTATAAGTTTGTGACCTTGCTTGAAAATTAGTCGCCATTTTGGATGGAAAATTCGATCAAATAATCAGGTTATATTTACCAATATGGTGCTAAAATTAAGGACATTTTATACAATATATCTTAAGATGATAGCATATACTCTCTTACAATGTGTTACTTGCGTCTTATTTTGGCATAATTACGCAGATATTAACATAAATAGGTCAGTCCTATCATCTTCCATAGAAAAATAAATGGCTTCCCAAAAATTTGTATCCCTATGTTCAGGATTAAATTTTGCGATAAATACACCAGGAAATTTTTCGTACCTTTGCAGTCACTTGCATTGTTCCATCGCGCGTTAAAGTAGCCTTTGCATCGGTCATTTTGTTGTTTATATTTGCAAGTAGCTGTAGCCGACAATAGGGTGGTTTCTGCCAGGTTTACACGAGGTTCACCGCTAGGTTCCGAGAACGCGTGGTCACGTGGTGGGCAACCACGAAGCTGATTGGTTACCGATATCGAGTCTAAACCGGAAGCGCGAAAGTAAAAACAAAAACAAACAGGTGCTTGTTGTGAAAGTTGTTAAAATTGATTTAGGGTTTCAGACAACAAAGACGTGCTTAATTAACGATTGTTAATTGATTCCGGTTAAACAGTTTAAGAGAGTACACGTGTCACAACCGGTATAAGTTATGCAATAGTTTGTGGTGACCACGTATTTGTCATAAAAATAAGATAGGTATATCATGTCAATTTTTAAAGTAACTATAGGCCTACCAATTTGAACAGCATCTCAAAAATAAAAGTCCGAGTAAGTATAAAATTTAAGCACCAAAATATAGAGGAATGGTGTATTTACCCTGTCCCAAAATTTCAGCTCAAAATATTGAGTCGTTTGGACGTGAACGTCAAAACTGCTCATCCGGATGTGTAACCCCTTTTAAGATTTCGGGTCAATTTTTTCGTTGGGTGACCAGACCTGATAATCGATTCCCGTTCCTTTAGAATTAGAGGTCTATCCAGTGATTGACCCATGTGCTGTACTTGATAACGCAAGGTAAATTTCCCCTACACATTATTTTTATAAAATAAAAGTCTGGTTTTATCCAGAAATGGTTCCACTATTGATGTCTTCCGCCTTGCTCCAGCCACAGAAGTGGCTCGTCCTACGGGGTCCCTTGCGCCAGTTTTTTAGTCAAATGACTACAAAAGGTTTACTGGCCTATAGCCCCCTTAATTTACACATAAACTGACCCCAAACTGTACTGCACATAGCTTAGCATATAATAAACCAATTCCCATTGAAATAAAGCTGAAGTCTTACCGCATAATTATATGATTTGATGAAACCCAACTGTTAAGCGAAATTTGGTGAGATTTCATCTGGCTGGTGTCATGGCGGCTTACATTAAAAGAAATGTCACTTTGAAAATGTATAACGCATTACCACAAAGAAAAACTGTTCAATAACTATTTTAGAGGACTCTTTAGTAAGTTTCAGTAACTTTTGTCCAATCCGTTTACTTTAAAGTAATAAAATATGTTTAAACTAAACTAGTGGTGCAGTCTTCATTATTAGTGATAGAATTACCTATGTCAAAACAAACTGTTATGACATGTGTTGACAATTGTGCATTTAGACTGTATCAACTGTAGCGTTAAACACAGTTTAACGGTACAACATTTGTAGCTAGATTTTATCCCGACACCGTATAATACAGGTTGTGACACCGGTCTTCATTTCCAGATTAAGACTGACCGGTTAAAATTGTTTGAAAACGTATCACGTATATTGAGTCAGTTGCTTGACCCGAAGGTAAAGGATTTTAAGGGCTTTTAACACAAAATTAAGCAGTTTTATTCTCCAAAATATTATCGGGATTGAGACGCAAAGATTTTATACGCTCACATTTTCATGTGGACGGATTATGCCGTCGCCCCTGTCCGTCTGTCCACACTTTGTTTGTGGGCACTCTACAGGTCACGATTTTATCTGATTTAAACGAAACTTGAAATATGGACACTCTTGAGCAATCTGTTTTACAGAGTATTACGAAAGCCTTCTAATATCTCTGTAAAAGATGACTACCTTCAACATGTGACGTCTCATCACGCGGCGTCAATTATTGGCTCAATAGCGCGTGCACTGTTTACATAAGACGTTACTGGTCTGTTTAGCTGTTTAGCAGAAGGGAACATATATTTAACAGCATGTTATGTCACACATACTGATGCTAGCGAGGTAAGCAAGGTCTTATTTTCTCACTAAAATGTTCCTTTACATTGTACAGGCGTTCACAGGGACTGAGTTGCGACCGTTTAGCAGTAAAAAGTTGCTCAGTAAAATTGACTGGGGTTCGAAACTTTTTCGACAAGGATTCAATAGGGCGGTTCCTGAACATAAATAGTGAGTGTAACGAGACCTACATGTACATTCAGAGCTGAACTAATGAAACAGCAGACTGAAATTCCTGACTGTATTGCGTTCAAGATAACGTGATACTGGTGTATGGTCGTTCTTCAGCAATCTCACAAAAGTTGGAATGTGACCATTAGTTACAAACTAATCAGCAGTGAATATTCGCTAGGCTGCTACAATCACTGAGAGTGATGACATTGGTGCAGGTTAATTAGCTCACAATACTAATTTTTTTTGCTTTTGCAAATTAAGTTCTAGAACATCTTTTTGAAGTATTAGAAAAATAAATAAAGGTGTTTGAAGTAAAAAAAAAAAAATTCCTATTTGGTGTAAATAGGTATGTCAAATGAGTAAAAGGCACCATTCTGCCTGAACCAGTAAAACAGTGCATGCGCTATTGAGCAAATGAGTGACGCCTTGTAATGTGACATCACATGTAGAAGGCATTTGAAGTTATAAAGGTCAGTCATCTCACGTAAGAGTTAGAAGAAGGCTTTCACATGACCTCTGTGAAACAGATTGCATTATTTACTGTGCAGACCCCAAATCTGAAAATCCTGTGTTCATTGCAAAAACAGTTGGAAAACATTGCGATGAAGAGTATAAGCAACCTACTTTTTAAAATTTCAAATCATTTCTTGAGTCTTAAAATATGTAGTTGTAACCAAATAAACAAAATGAAAGTAAATAAATTTTATTGTATTTACTATTTTACTAACTTCAGCTGGACAAAAACACTGGATTTGACAAACTTTCCTTCTAGATTCATTTTTGGAAATTACAAGCTATGTGGTGTCAAAGCTTTATTTTATGACTGTCTCACATGAATGAAATTAATTTCAAAGTACAAATTTAAATTAAAGATATTGACTCACAAATGCCAGGAATATGACCATAACATGTAATTTCTGCACAGACCCCTGTGTGCACCGCAAAATTGAGGGACCTAATTCTAAAAGTTTCCTTGACATGTTCAGTGATAAATGGTATTGTATTGACCACAACTTCCCCAAACAAATTGTAAAATCATTCAGATTGCAATTTTAGAAAGGTAAATAATGAAGTTTCAAATTGACATATCAAATGAAATGTGTCACAGATGGAAATCTCATACCATGCGAGCCATGTGGGAGATTTTAATTTTTTAAATTACACGTCTCTTTGTACTAATTTAAAAACCATGATCTCCACACATTCGGCATGTGCCAGTATTTAATAATTCTTTTTTAAAAATGGAATTCTTTTTAACCTAATCACCTAAAAAATAAACATTACACGCGTAGGAATACACGCGAAGTTTGTTGCCGAGTGCCATTTTGGCCAATCAAAATAAAGAAAACGTTTAGCCCCGATCCTTCAATCATGGCGTATTATAGTCAACAAGGACACATTTTTCTGGCATTCTGACCAGAAAAATGAAGTGGCTTATTCATCAGAATGCAACACAGCCCTGCAAGTTACTGGTTTTTATTGGCAACACCTGGAGGCATTGTGTGGAATATTCAAAAAAGTGGCAGACTTTGGATGGAGAAGAAAAAAACATTGCAATCACGTATCGCGATGTGTTCGAAGGTATGTATGTTTGTATGTTATTATTAGTTATTTTATTATTATTATTTTCTTAGTCTTAGTATTTAAATTTTTTCTAGGCTGTGAGTGTTCACGTTGGTTGTTGTTAAGAAATATATAAAGTACTTGTTCACAATACATGGTATCACGCAAACCAGTGGTGGGCAAACTTTCAAGTTTTAAAACAAAACTGAAGCCTAAACTGGTGAAGGGCAAAACATTTTTATGAAACATAACTAACAAATTACATTACAATGTCAAGGGTTATGAAATATCATTTTCAATAAAGTAATATTAGAAATATGGAGTACAGCACATAATATTTAAAATTACATTCTTATTAGAATCATTTTAGTCAGGTTCCATGGAACTTTGTCAAATTTATATTCCGTCGGTGATTGGTCTAAAACAAAACCTGCCGTCTTGTGGGAGCATAGTTTGGAATAGCCTTTACAGAAAAATCAAAGGCAATTAGTCTTAAGCCGTAAAAAGATCTGCAAAGATTACTGATCCTACAGGCGGAAATTTTATTTAAATAAGCAATTTTAGATTTTGATTTCATTTAGAGATTGCATTGCTCAAAAAAAAATTCACACGTGACATACAATTATGTTTTTTCTATCATATTTCCTATTTTCTTTAGGAACAAAGGAAGAAGCTTCAAAGGTGAATCAAAAAGATGTTCCTGTAAAGTGGGTCGCAACGCATATAATACTGTAGTATAAATGTATATAAACTGATTTACATTCAATGGTTTCCGTTTTTACTCCAATTTCAAATCATCTATGTTCGGCGAAATAAGCCAGCAGTCTCAAGCGAGTGCATATTTCTAGCGTCTGGTTATTCCAGTCTATATACGCCGTTTGATTTGGTGCAATGTGTCTAGCCTCGTCCCTCGAGTCTCTTGATACAACTGCGGCTGAAGCGCATTATAGTACACGATTCGTGTACAAATGGTAAAATGTTTATTTTGTCTTAAATATTGGATATCAAAAGCCCATCTTTTTCCGGTAAGATCACAACATGAATGTTGATTTAATTTGACAAATAAATCGTGTTTTCAATGTTGAAGATTTTGGATGATATTGATTTAGAGACTTAGCTACTTTAATGTTTAAATTTTGAACTACATGTATTAAAAATCTTAACTATTTCTTTATATATCAGACATGTGCAGCATACATATTTATTTTAGTCTATTATGGTACATTTTTTCTCAGTTGTTTGATGTTAATTATCAATGAATTAGTGTATGTGTAGTGTGTACATGTGTGTGTGAGTGTATGTAATATATATTTGTGTTTATTTATGTATTTGATTTATTATTGTAATTTCATTATGTTTTGATTGTAATATTTATATCTTTGTATTTTTTTTTTTTTGGAGAGTGGGGTTGCCTGCTCTATAATCCAATTATCTTTTAATAAATAATGTTAAAAAAAATAATTTATTTTTAAAACTCCCATAGACCACTCCTTTGAGCAAGACCAAGTAGTCTATATATATTTTTTAAAATAGGGGAATGGACAAACAAGGGACATTTTAGCCAGTTGTTAGAACACAACCTGTATTATACCTATGCATTAATTTCAAAAAGTCATAATTTAGCAAACACAGATAACTGTCCACAAAACATCAGTTAATTGTTATTACATTGTCAAACCTTATTAGGGGTGCTTTTGTGGGTATATTGATATTAAAAGGTATTTCCAACCTTATATGGAGGGTTCGGGGATTAAGCAGTGTATGATGGGGGGGGGGGGGGTGCTGGGCCTTGCCTTTGATTTATGCACAGTTATATTATTTGGATGCTACAGTGTCGA